ATCAAATACGGATGGAGATCACTGGTACTGGTTGGCAACGAATGGGCCTATTATTATGCAAAATGGGTGAAAATGATAAAGCAGAACACGTTTTTACGATGTTACTCGAACAAGCAACCGATGATGACAATAATAAAGCATATTGTTATCACTGCCTTGGGCTCATTAAACGTAACCAAGGACAATATAATGTAGCCATCGACCTTTACGAAAAATCACTTAAAATAAGAGAAAAGGCTCTGCCTACGAATCATACCGATTTGGCTACTTCCTATAACAACATCGGTGAAGTGTATAACAACATGGGTGACTACTCGAAAGCACTTGAATTTTACGAAAAATCACTTAAAATAAGAGAAAAGGCGCTGTCTACGAATCATACCGATTTGGCTACTTCCTATAACAACATCGGTGAAGTGTATAACAACATGGGTGACTACTCGAAAGCACTTGAATTTTACGAAAAATCGCTTAAAATAAGAGAAAAGGCTCTGCCTACGAATCATCCCGATTTGGCTACTTCCTACACTTGCATCGGTCTAGTGTATAACAACATGGATGACTACTCGAAAGCACTTGAATTTTACGAAAAGTCACATCAAATCTACGAAAAAGCTCTGCCTCCGAATCATCCCGATTTGGCTACTTCCCACAACAGCATCGGTCAAGTGTATAACGACATGGGTGACTACTCGAAAGCGCTTGAATTTTACGAAAAATCACATCAAATCTACGAAAAAGCTCTGCCTCCGAATCATCCCGATTTGGCTACTTCTCACAACAGCATCGGTCAAGTGTATAACAACATGGGTGACTACTCGAAAGCACTTGAATTTTACGAAAAAGATCTCGAAATCACGAAAAAAGCTCTGTCTCCGAATCATCCCGATTTGGCTACTTCCTACACTTGCATTGGCCAAGTGTATAACAACATCGGTGACTACTCGAAAGCACTTGAATTTTGCGAAAAAGATCTCGAAATCACGAAAAAAGCTTTGCCTCCGAATCATCCCGATTTGGCTACTTCCTACAGCAACATCGGTGAAGTGTATAACAACATGGGTGACTACTCGAAAGCACTTGAATTTTACGAAAAATCACATCAAATCTACGAAAAAGCTCTGCCTCCGAATCATCCCCATTTGGCTACTTCCTACACTTGCATTGGCCAAGTGTATAACAACATCGGTGACTACTCGAAAGCACTTGAATTTTACGAAAAATCACATCAAATCTACGAAAAAGCTCTGCCTCCGAATCATCCCTCGTTGGCTACTTCCTACGGCAACATCGGTGAAGTGTATAACAACATGGGTGACTACTCGAAAGCACTTGAATTTTACGAAAAATCACTTAAAATAAGAGAAAAAGCTCTGCCTCCGAATCATCCCTCGTTGGCTACTTCCTACGGCAACATCGGTCAAGTGTATAACAACATGGGTGACTACTCGAAAGCACTTGAATTTTACGAAAAATCACATCAAATCTACGAAAAAGCTCTGCCTCCGAATCATCCCTCGTTGGCTACTTCCTACGGCAACATCGGTCAAGTGTATAACAACATGGGTGACTACTCGAAAGCACTTGAATTTTACGAAAAATCACTTAAAATAAGAGAAAAAGCTCTGCCTCCGAATCATCCCTCGTTGGCTACTTCCTACGGCAACATCGGTGAAGTGTATAACAACATGGGTGACTACTCGAAAGCACTTGAATTTTACGAAAAATCACTTAAAATAAGAGAAAAAGCTCTGCCTCCGAATCATCCCGATTTGGCTACTTCCTACACTTGCATTGGCCAAGTGTATAATGACATGGGTGATTATTCGAAAGCACTTGAATTTTACCAAAAATCACTTAAAATAAGAGAAAAAGCTCTGCCTCCGAATCATCCCCATTTGGCTATTTCATATGGCAACATCGGTCAAGCGTATAATAATATGGGCAATTACTCCAAGGCACTTTCGTTTCTCGAAAAGGCGCTAACTATTCAACAGAAAACACTTCCGGCATCACATCCTTATATTAAAGAAACGATACGTAGAATTAACAATGTTAAAAAGGTGTAAATTGCTTTTTTAATGTGGTTAATAAATTTATTCACATTGCTATTCATTTCGATTTTTCTCGGTTCATTTTGGCTTATTCGCGCGCGCGCGACAAGGAAGAGAACCCTTGTCAATGTCATAGGTACCACAGGTGGACCACGCCGGACTGGTAGGGCAATGGCCGAAGGTGTGCCGTATGAACGGTAGGGACCAACGACACATAGAGGCCTTCCCTAGCACTACACTGCTTCGCTATGGCAAAATTTCTCTAGCTATTGAATCAGACAACGTAGCTATCTGATCCACATTGATGACTCAACTCATCTCAAATAAACTCATACTCGTAATAACTGATAGTATTTATTTTTTCTCAAAATAACTTATCTCAGCTCAATTCAACTCAACTGAATATGTAAAAAATTTTTTTTCCTCTTTCTCAATATTGTATAATATCGAAACTCATCTAAAAAAAAGAAAAAAAAAGTATTATTAAATATATAATGAATTTATTATTTACCTCATATAGAATTTAATAATATAATTATCATTGTAAATAATATAATAGTAATAATAATAATAAACCCGGGTATATAAATACATTGTAATGCATTATAATAATACAACTCGAGTGTATGATTTCATAATGATGTATACATGTTTTTATATACTCTGAGATTAATTGACCGATGTTCAAAATTTTGATTGATTTTTTATCAATCATTCTACGTCTGTTTTATTGATTTGATGATTTTTTTTCTCGTCTGACATACATCTATATCGTGTCATCGTCGACGAAAAAAAATTTTCATATTACATAATATATAGGGTGTTGTCTTTCTCCTTCACAGTGCTCGTTTTCAAATAAGAATACAAGACAAGAGAATTTATCAACTCGAGTAACTTAAAAAATAGGTGTATTTTGTTTTTACAAAATGTGATCTTTTTTTTAGGAATGTCTGAAATATATACATGTCTAAATTATATAGAATAAGATAGCGTTTGTCTCTCTACTGAAGAATATAATTTTTATTGGACGTCTTCATTATCTTCAATATATATGTATTTGAGAAATGTCTGAGAAATTTTTGCGTTAACTTTTTTCACGTATAGTTTTTCGACTTTTCTTTAAAGAAATGTTAGTTGTGCAAAAATTGAAATTTCTACACATTTAAGATTGATGAATTTCTTTCATTTCAAGTGATTTTCATCATTACTGAATTTTATTTCCATTGGAATATAGTGCTTCTCAGGATTTACCTAATATTCGTCCAGAATGTATCAACTTGTACATAACAAACTATGAATGATGTGTATTCACTTATATTGTCATATTCATCGATATAGTAATGAATATATAAACAGCATTGAATTCATCTCAAAATTAGTCTCCTGATGATAGAGTATATCATATTTGTACTCTTTAAATTTTCAAGATCTATCGATGAAAACAAAATTCATCATTATAAACATTTTGAACAAACAATTGTAATGTAAAAGTAATATTATTTCTAGATTTTTATGCGAAACTGTATATCAGACAAAGTATTAGTACAAAAAAGAGGCATTTTTCGTTTAGATATAATGAATGTTATTGCCTTTATATGTTCGACTTTCTTAATTGAATTATTAATGAGTATTTTGACATTGTTGTATGAAAGAAGTAACTGTTTTTAGTTACCTGACAAAGTACTCTCTATGAAATAATGTCATTTAATTAGAATGAAACGAAGTATTTTCTAAGAGAGACAATAATGATAGCAGTAGAGCATTTAATGAATGTCTTTATGTATTTCTCATTATATTTCTCTTGTATAAAAATTATTCGACAGATACAACAATTTCATTTTATTTTCAGTGTAGATATTTAAGTTTCTATAAAAAATTCGATGTTGGTTTTTTATTAGAAAATGATTAAACTATAGTTGCTTGAGAAATTGTATATTTTGTTTTTATTCAGATCTCCAATTATACAGTTGTTGGTGTATTCTGTATTTCGATTATAGGTGTAGAGTGAGGCGTTACACTAAAAAAAAAGAAAGAAAACATACTGAATAACTTATTGGAATATTTTCTCGTTAAGGATAAATTCATATTCTGACGAATATTCGTTTTCTATGATTTTCTAAAGATAACTGATATTTTTATCGAGTATTTGTGAGGTATAGAGTTTTATTGCGAGTTCATTGAAAAATATCTCAGAATTTTCATAAATAAAATTATGTATAGATTAATTGTTTGAGTCTATAAAAGAAATCTCAGTAGTAGTAATAAATAAATTAATGAATCACATTTTGTTTTCTCATTAGACATATATACATGGTTTTTTGTTATGCTTGAAAGTATAAGTGAATCTATGAGAAATAGAAGAGATTTAAAGAAAACTGCAAACCTCTTTCAAGTAAATGATATCGTCATTATAATTTTTATGAGAAATTTCTACTAATAAAAAAGCTTTTAATAAAAGATTTTTTGTAAAGTTAAACAATGAGTCTTTTGGTAAAATCCACTAATAGACGAATTCTTTATCAGTATTTCAGTGAATGTTGTTTTAATATTAACCTCTTCATATATCTTGTTGGGTCTGACACTACACTGTTGTTCTTCAACATGAATATCAGTTTGAATAAAAGATTCCAGTTGTTTTGCTTTTTACTTATGAAATAGGAACAATGTTTGGCATTTTTACTGTTAGAAAAGAATAATTGAGAAAGTTCGTTTACAGGAAAAAATACATTTCGATTAGAGATTTAAAACTTGTAATTTTTGTATAATTATGACCTGATAAATACTGTTGAAAGTTGTGCGTGTAAATTTTTTTTTGAGAATGAATCGAATGAATCATTTATTGCTTTTGTTCGAAAGCAATCTTTTTACTTTTCTTCTTTATCTATATTTTGTTTTATTTAATATTTAATTGTAATACAGAAGATAATAGAGGGGTGTGAATCTGATGAGTGCTTATTGTTAGCTCATATCTAAATGCTTTAAAAATTTAGTAGATGCGTTCATTGAATATTAAAAGATTTATCTCACTGAATTAGTTTTCTTTATTAGAATTTTTTTTCTTTTACTTTTCTATTAATATTTTTGTTTATCAATGAGAATTTTGATAAAAATTAATAGACGAATCAATTGGATACATTAAATTTGTATCAATTAATATTATACAGTTTTTACCATTTATATAAGCCGAATCAATAGTAAAAAAAAATAGAGTTGATGATTACGAAGATGATATAAAAATTCAATTATGTATTATAGAAAGGTTTTACGGAAGAATAATTTTAATTTAGACATATATATGTACTGATCTGTCATAAACTTCTCTTTTTGTATAGCTTATATTGTACACATTTTTCTCTGATGAAAATCACACAGCTCATTTAATAATAAAATTCAATACTGTTATTTTTGTTTTTTTTTCTACTGTATAACAATCAGATTTTGATTTACGTAATCTAACATATGAACACAAATGACGTTGTTGAACATTGAAATCAAGTTCAACATGCTCTTGAAATAAGTGTTTGCGGAGATTATTGATACTGAAGTGAGGAACGTATTTATACGTTCAATCTCACTCACTCATTATTCCTAAAAACACTCAACATTTTCATGGATCACATATTAATGTCATAAGTGTAGAGTTTTTGTGACATAAGTGCTAGAATAACGCATCAAAAGTATGGGATTCCTTCGAAACACTTTGAAAAAGACAAATTTCCAAATGATAAATCAATTATAAAAATAGCTAAGAATTCATTCGAAAGGTTTTTGTTCATAAAAGTCAAAAATAAATATATTGATAACTATTATTATATGACATTGAAAAAACTATCTTTTGTTTCATCGACATAGTTTCGTTATTGATCTGAATTAGATTTACTTCAATAAAAAATATAGTAATGTGTTGAAACTTTTTCAAATTCATATTGCATATATTTAATTTCTGAAGAAATACCGATCAATTCCATCTTAATTTTCTACAATGAGAAAGTATTTTTCGATTTTATCTTCTAATATTATTTATTGAAACATTTCTGAATGGAAATAATAGAATATTCTAGATTTTTTTTTTCTGTACTCGATTTGGATACGTTAAATATATCAAATAGATCACAAAGTAAGATAGAGTACAAGTAGTAATGAGTAAACTATGAGCTAAAGTATGAATTGTTGGTGTCTACGAAAAGAAGCTCATCTACACGCACATCTTTATTATTCTGTTGTCTTAATTTTTGGATTGAATCGAATTGACATACTAAACTTGCATTATAATCTTTACTGAATAGAGTTCGAAAATAAATGACAACTTCAATGGAATTTTAATCATAAAACCTTCAGCACTAATCAAACTCCTTTACAAATGTAATTCTTAAAACTCTATCTAGACATGATATTCATTCTCTTTGATTTTTATTTCATTTCAAGTGCTTCAATTTTTTAAACTAGTCGTTATCTTTAGTGTCAATAGAAAGCGAAATAAAAAGTAATTCATTGCAAGAAAACTTCATAAATAATGTCATGCCTTGCTTTCTTTTTATGATATTTAAGAATTTCTCTTGTTCTCACTTGATATTGCCATAAGTGTTTGTATTCATAGAAACAGGTCAATATACATCGTTATTTGAAAATGTATGATGAATTTTAGACCGAATTGAGAACTACATAGCAATACTTAATGTTAATATTTCGAAAAAAATTGATTAAATAGAAGTAAATATAGGATGTTATGAATCTGAGTTTTAATCATCGGAACACACACAAAGACAATTTCAAGCTATATGTCAAAAATCATTTACATACTATTTATTCATTAATACTTTCTAAAATGCATATTAATGAAATTTGATCTATTGAATAACGAATTTCATATAAATAAATACACAGAATCAAATTGGAGTTGTAGTCATGAAATGTTTTATTAAAATGCATCAAAGATTATAATTTAGTAAGATTCATATTAGGTTTTATTATTGAACAGAGACTTAAGTTAAATGTAAATCAAGAAATACAACATT